CGCTCGAGGCACCGAAGACGTCGGCCCGAGACTCCAACCCTGCAAGCAGAGGATGTCGCAAAGCTAGTAAATGACCAACTCCGAGGTCTCCGACTCAAAGGAAACGCGGAAGAGGCCCTATGCAAGGAAATTGATCGAGTTGACTGCTCGCCCTTTACGGACGAGGTGGAACGAGCTCCGCCGCCGAAGCGGTTTACAACGTCATCCATCACTCCATTCAAGGGGGACTCAGACCCTGAGAGCCATTTGAGGCACTTCAAGAGCGCCATGATCCTGTACAAGGAAGACGACGCCCTGATGTGCAAAGTGTTCGCGATGACTCTGCGAGGAGCAGCTCAGGATTGGTTCCACACTCTACCGTCCGCGTCAATAGGCAACTTCAAGGAGTTCGCCATCATTTTCACAAAGGAGTACACCTCCTACAAGACGGTCAGAAAGCATGCAGACCACCTGTTCAACCTGCGCAAGAAGCCAGACGAGTCTCTACGAGACTACCTGAGACGGTTTAAGGCTGAGAAGGCCAACATCATAGGATGCAACGACCAAGTTGCATCCTCAGCTTTCAAGAAGGGCTTGCCAACCGAGCACGAGCTATACCGGGAGCTGGCCATAACTCCAAGTCAAACCTTGGCAGAAGTGTTCGCGACGGCAGAGCGCTACGCACTTTGGGACGATGATCGTATCGCCGCAAAGAAAGCTAGCAAGCAAGTTGACCACCCGACGAAGCAGGCAAGCCAAAAGAGAAACAAGTAAAAAGCGGCGCAGATCGCGGCCCCAAGAGGAAAGCTCAGAAACAGGGACCTTCACTGAATTCGTTATCCCAATCAATCAGATCCTAGCTCAGGTGAAGGACAAGCCGTGGGTGAGGAGACCACCACCCATGAAAGGAGACCCCTCTAAAAGAGACACCAGCAAATACTGCGCATTCCACGGGGAGCACGGTCATTACACCAACAACTGCAACGCTTGGAAAAGGCACCTTGAGGAGCTGGTCAGAGAGGGCCATTGCACAGAGTTCGTTGCAAAGAAGGCTATCCAGCAGATCGAGGATCGTGATGTAGCTGCCAAGGAACCTCCCCAAAAGGTCATTCGAATCAACACCATTCTAGCCGACTCCCAAGAGTCCGAGCTGACCACCAAGGAGCGCAAGAGAAAGATCGCGCAGGCAACTTATGTCTCCCAAGTCACAACGGGAGTACCAGCTGTTGGGGATACACCTATCATCGGCTTCCAGAAGAATGACTTGTTCGGGCTTGACCTGCCACATAATGACGCCCTAGTCATCTGCATCCAAATTGAACAAGCTGTGATCGAGCGAGTTCATGTAGATGAGGGCAGCGCAGCCAACATCCTGCAACTATCTGTTATCCAACAGATGGGGTTCGAGCCCAAGATTAGCAAACTTGCCAGATCGCTCACCGGCTTCAATGGGGCCACATCAATCACTATTGGAACGATCGACTTGGATGTCCACTCACCCCCAGTGGTCTGCTCACAGACCTTCATGGTCATCAACGAGGTTTCCCCCTACAACGGAATCTTGGGCCGACCGTGGATCAGCAAGATCGAGGCCGTCACATCTGCTCTACATCAGAAGATCCGCTATCCCATCCCTGGGGGCGGAATCGGGCAGATCAACAGTGACCAAGCCATGGCAAGGAGATGCACCGCCCAAGGGCTCAAGAAGAGCAAGCAGCTGCAGTTCACACCAGTAATGCAAGCTGCCAACGAGACAGGAAGCGCTCTTAGCAGACAAGCAAACCCGAAAGGGAAAGAAGTTGCTGCCTCACAATAGCAGTTAAGGAACCAGGATCGAGACGAGGGAATCCGCCCGGAAGGCTCCCTTGAAGAAGGTTGGAAGCCTGAGGAAGACGTTGAGTTAGTACTCCTTGATCCTCACCAGCCAGACAAGAAAGCGTGGATCGGCTCGCGCCTAAGCCCAGACGAGAAGAAGGAGGTGACCATCCTTCTCCAGAACAAAAAAGACAAG